CTACATGGTAAGTTAGTTCCAGTCCAACCTGGGCTACTTAAGACTGTGTCTCAAAGAAGAAAAGAGAAGCCAGGGTGGTGGTTTGAACCAGCACTCAGCAAGCAGAGGTGGAGGAATCTCGGGGAGCTCAAGGAAGCCTGGTCTACAAAGTGTATGCAGGACAGCCAAGGCTGCACAAAGAAATACAGTCAAGTTTACACAAAGAAATCCTGTCTGGAAAAAAACAAAAAACAAATGAGGAGGAAGAAGAGGAGGGAGAGAAGAAGAAGAAGAAGAAGAAGAAGAAGAAGAAGAAGAAGAAGAAGAAGAAGAAGAAGAAGAAGAAAAAGAAGAAGAAGAAGAAGAAGAAGAACAACAACAACAACAAGAACAAAAAGAATAAGAAGAAAAACAAGAAGAAAAGAAGAAATAGACAATGGCCAAGATAAACTTCTAATTGTTTCACTTGTCAGGGGAGGAGCCAGTCCACTGTGTAGAGTACACTAGCCTGAGTCCAGTATCCCTGATTGGTTTTTCAATCCATGGGGTGACAGATCTGAACTGGGCACACTGCCCCCCATTTCCTCTCTGAATGGCACTGTCACTATCCTGTGTTTGTATCATTCTCTGAAGAGGAATTTTAATTCAGAACATGGCTGCTCTGGCAAGAGATCACATCCAAAGACCTTTCTGGTCTGACACACCTTTAATCCAGGAGACAAAGGAAAGCATATTTGAGTTCACAGCCAGCCTGGTACAGAGCAAGTATCAGGTCAAGAAAAGCTTAGGTCCAGGCATGCTAGTACATGCCTTTAATTCCAAACAATGAAGGTAAAGTTTTGTTTTTTTTTTTTTTGTAGAAGGAAACACCCATGTTTGAAAATGATGTCTAATTGAATGGCAGAAAAAGTGACAAATCAGAGAAAGATTTGACAGAATAGGATATGCCTATTTGACAGAATAGGGTATTCACGAGAACAGAGAGGAAAGGGAAGCTACTTAAGGGAGCAACACAGAGAAGTGGCAGTTTTACAGGGAGAGTTTTACAGAGAGAAGTTGAAGGCAGAACAAGCCAAAGAATGAGAAGGAGCCAGAATATTAGAAAAAATTGCTGGAGTTAGTTGGAGGCCAAGTAGAGCAATTCAGGGGCTGAAAGAGGAGCCAAACCAGTCAAGTTGAACCAGCCAGCTATCAGATCAGAAAGAATAAGAAAGGGTGAGCTTATTCAGCAGTAAGTCTCAGAGGCTGAAAACATTCTAGGCCGAGGTTAGATTGTATGGAGGCTAGAAGTTTCCAGGACTAGGCCTAAGTTAGCAGACAGAGGCAATAAGCCTCCAAGACAACTGAAACATGTAAATAAAAGTTCCTCTTACAGTTCTAAAATCACCACTCCAGTACTTCCTTTGACATCCTCTTCTTGCCATCTTTACAGAGAAGGTGAGATGGTGTGAACTGACTCAGTTTTACCACTGCGTCCCAGCTTCCCTAACCTCGGTGGTGTTTTTCTTCTATGGACAGACAAGCTATCTCCCCACAGCAGTAATTACGCCATGGAAGTCATTGCTAGGGGCTTGGAGTTAGTATCGCCTATAAAGACACCTGTGTGGAAGTGTATTTCCTTGTGTGATGTGCCTTTTGAGAAGTGGGGCTGAATGGCAGGCCACTGGATCATTGGAGGAGGGGTGCTACCCAGAAAGGAAGCAAAGAGTCTTTCTTCTTTGCACCCCAGTCTTGGTCTTGCTCTCTGCTTTGATGTGTGATATTTCTCTCACATGCACATAGACCTACCTTTTCAATGCTATCTGCTCTCAGCAGATTAGTCCATATCCCTATTGTGCCTGTGAACCTCCGGAGTTGTGCTGTCAATAAGCTTCCATAGGCAGCAGCCAACCTCAGATATTCCATTACAGCATCAGAAAACAGACTCGCTGCCTCATATGGAGCCTAGTCTAAGTATTCCTCCTGTACTTTCAGAGAGTACCAGAGGTACTCTGGTATTGTGTCAGCTCCACAAGTGAGTAGAGGGAAGGACAAAGAGTTGGCATCATTTTCCCAGGAAGACAGCATGAATGGAGGGTCTGACCTCCACACCTTGTCCTCACTACTCTCTCCCCAAGCTTCTGATATGTTCTCCTTTACCAGCAGTTAATGTGTGCTCAGTACTGATCCCTTTCTGGTTTATCCTTCATGTGGGGTCAGAATTTCTAAAAAGTGTAGGTTTTATTTATTATCAAAATACTCTGAAGTCCACCACACCAAGAAAGAAATTCTGTGAGTTCTCTGCCCCCAGGGCTTTATATATATGTAGTGTACCAAGAATGACAATGTCATCATTCTTCATCTACATTTATTCATTTATTTGTTCATCAACTAACAGTTATTCAGTCCCAAGTATGGGCAAGCATAATGTACCTAATTTAGGTGCATCATACTGTCCTGGTTCTTCATGCCTCTAGTCTCCTAGCAGAAATGACTTTAAAAACTAACCTTCAGGACCACAGCAGAAGCTCTGCCATGAGCATCAAGATCCACCCATGTTGGATTAATACTCATTCTCCTCTAATCCCCAGTTCTTCCTGGTTGTGATGTTTCATTTCCTCCCTCCTCCCCACACTGTGCTACATTCCTTTCCTTGCAGATGCCCATATCTATTTGTTCATGACTCTACCCATATTATTGTCCTTGAATTTCTTTTCAGCTTTCTTCCTAGATGTGCTGTGCTTCTCTATATCTTAGCTCACGCTTCTCTTCTCATAAAATCTGAAGCCTCTGTTCTCCTGACTTACGTGCCTCCACAATCCTTGTACTTGCTTATCTAATGTCCCTTGCTTGGTTATATGTCCTGGGGGAAAAAAAAAAGGATATAAAATTTATCTTCATGCCACTAACAGCTAGTTCTGACTCTGGGTCAACAACATTTTCTAACTGCCAGAATAAACTTCACAAAACTAAGGGAATACTATGACTTATTCTCTGTCTTTGGAAAGGCTGGAAAATAAATAGTGGAAGTTTACTGTGTTGCCCCATTGTTGACTCTTCTACTTTTTTTTTAAGTGGCCCTGATCTCTTAGTAAGTAAATGTGTTACCAACTGAACAATACATGAGAATATTAGGGAGTGCAGGTTCATGGAAAGTGATAAGATATTGCTGGCATGGTGGTGTACACCTTTAATCCCAGCACTCAGTGGGAAGGCAGAGGTGGGTAGGTAGTTTGTCGTCAGCCTGGTCTACAGAGCGTGTTCCAGAACAGCCAGTGCTACAGAGATCATGTCCTAAAAAACAATGAAAAACCCCAAACAACAACAAAACCAAAAAGAGAAAGTAATACATTCAACAACATTAGGGGCTCACTAAGAAGAGCAGACAAGAAACAGAAAACGAAGCCTGTGGTCACAGAACAAGGGAGAGGAGTCATAGCACAGCTGCTTTTTGCTCTACACCTTCTAGTTGTCACTCATGAGATATACTGTTTCCTCCTATGACTGAAGCAGGATAGAAAGACAGGGAAGAGTAAAGAACCTGGGGAGAGAGAGAAGCCCTCACCCTAGAGTATGGCTCAAGCCGGGCTCACCAATGTTGTGGTGTTTGGCTGTAAAGAGATAACATTGCTCTTATGTAGCGGTGTTTTAAGTGTGAAAGGTTTTCACAGCAGTAAAGAATGCTGAAGGCCTGAGTGCATATCACCAACTATGGCCATTTCCTTTCTTAGCAGCAGTTCTGAAATTTTCTTTGACACTCACAATAAGTCCCACAAAGCAAAAGCAGGTCTTCATCTGTGTGCAACTTCTGCAACCTATGCTTTTTTATTTTAAAATAATATCATCTAATTGTAGTGAACTCAAAAATAAAAGCAAACACTCGTCCATCCACAAACTCAATACAAATCTCAGGAAACTACTGTACAGTTAGAAAGGTCATTCTAAAATCATAGAGCTATGGCCTAGGATTTTACATTTTAACTATCAATTACATTTTTTTGTTGTTGTTGCTAAAGAAGGTTCTCAGTGTGTAGCCAAGACTGGCCTAGAACTTACTACTGTAGACTAGGCTGACCTCAAACTCACAGAAATCCACCTGCCTCTGCCTCTCAAGTGCTGGGATTAGAGGCATGCACCACCACACCTTCCTCAATTACATTTTTTTTTTATTCACTTATGTACCATGAAAAATGTGACAGAGTTGAAATTAGGGAAACAACTTTATATCCTCTTTCATGACCCATTTGTCCTTTTGCCTGCACTCCATTTTTTCTCATCACCTAATCATTCCTAGGTCTAATGTTCATCTTTTATCTTATCAGATTGTAAACTCATCTAAGGTACCTCCAGAACCCACTATAATCTCACTTATAACAAAGAAGTAAAAAGGGCTTCTTGGTGACCTTTAAGATAAAACTTTAGAGCCACCAAAAGGTATGAGTCGATTGCTAAGATACTTAAGTGAGAGTTTCCTCTGTGTGGCTGACATGCTCAGTGTGTGTCATTCTTTCCCTGGGTGCCTCTGCCTATTAACTCCAGTGTTTAAAATATTTTTATTGAAGTCCATCTCTGCCTAATTCTGTGTGGTCCTGAACTTCTTTCTGCAGTAGAATCAAGGATTGTCTAGGTACTGGATGGAGGACCCTCCAAGAGAAGAATTCTCCCTAGGCTGCAGGGAGTGCAAGGCTGTTTCCCCACTGTGCCTCCTCTGACATGACCTTGTTTAATCATTAGCAAAGAAATGTCTTTACTTAAAGTGTGTCAGGTATTTATCCAGTTGAACTTCAGCACTGTTGAGCTCCTAGTACCAAGTTCTCTCTTACAAACAGGCCCGGAGCTAGACCTGGAAGGCTGAATTCTGTGTGGGCTATAAAGCAAGTTCAAGATCTCCTGGAAAACTCAGTACAAAGAAGGATGGGCACATGCTCAGTGGCAGAGCATTGGGTTACCTTACACAAGGCTCTAGGTTTACTACCCTTGAAAGATCCCCGGAGGGTATCTTCCCTCTGAGAGAGACCCCCTCCCAAGGAACAACGAGGCCATTCGGATGCAAACAGCAAGAGGCTTTTATTTTGATACACGGGTACCCGGGGCGAAAAGTCATTCTGGAGACTTCCGCGCCCCCTAGACGGGAAGCTGGGGTTTTTATAGGGTTTTAGAGCAGAAGCACTGGTACAGAAGCGAGAGGCATGGTTACAGGGGGCTGATTGGTACGTTTACACGAGACCACAATTTGCGTCAAAGTTTGGCAGGGGCACCAAGATTTCAGGAACTGGGTGGTCAAGGGGGTTATGATGACCCCTTGACGTGGCCCGCCACCTGTTATTTTGTTTTTTTCTATCTTAACTGAAACAGTCTCACAGATATCTATGAGGGTGATTAACACAAACTGTTTTTAGTATGACTGGGGCAGCCTGACCACAGATATCCCAAGTGGGTGACACAGCTAGGATTTCTCAGTAATTTTTCAGTTTCTCATCTGGCCTTCAGAGTTTTACAAAACAGTGGTGTCTCACAAAATGGCGTTAGCTATGTTTAACTTAGGGTGAGGCAGGGGTCTTTCACCCTACAGTACACAAAAATAAATAGATAAAACGCATGTTCCTTCATTTATAACTACATGCTTACATAGTAAAATCCTTTAATCTTTCGTCTTGTTTTGTTTTTGAGATGATGTTTCATATACCCTCCCATTCTTAATCCTCCTGCTCCAGTTTCCCAAGTGTCAAGAATACAATTGTAAGGGGAGGAGGACCTCCCCTATCAGTGGACTTGGAGAGAGGCATGGGAGGAGATGAGGGAGGGAGAGTGAGCTTGGGAGGGAATGAGGGGGCTACAGCTGGGATACAAAGTGAATAAACTGTAATTAATATAAAAATAAAAATTTAATTAAAAACAGAATATGATTGTGTTTCACCACACATGGCTGAAATTTGCTTTGTTACAGAACATTCTTTGTGACCAGATCTATTCCTAAGACACCTCATGTACTAACACAGGGACTAAGTATACCATTCTATTTATCTGTTGTTAAATGTTCACATAATAAAAAGACCCTTAGGATGAACTGCATGATTAGGATAGCTAATAATTCCACAGTCATTAAGTTAATATTTACTGAATAGAGTCTCAGATCCCCTAAAACTGGAGTTACAAATGGTGGTTGTGAGCTGCCATGTGAATGCTAGAGAGCAAAGACAGGTCCTCTGCAAGAGTAGCAAGTGTTCTTAAGGATTGATACATGTTTTTAAAAACAATGATGAAAATTCCAACTGCTCTATTTTACCAATGAGGACTTAGGAGCCAGATGTTGGATGCAAACCTGCTAGCTCAGAGAGGCAGAGGAAGCACCCAGCTGACCTTCCTTCTCAGTTCAGGTCCAGATGGAAAAAACAAACAAACAAACAAACAAACAAACAAACAAAAAAACCCAAAAGGCTCATTCGGACAACTGACAGCTCTGGAAGAAAAGGCCAAAATACCAAGGCCAAAGGCTTGATAACTCAAAGCCCAAAAGCCAGGGCAAAAGCCAGGGAGCTGAGGAACTAGGTGAAGCCTAAGCTAAAGCCAGAGCTTAAGTTAAAAAGTTCTTTCTTCTTCTCCATGATGTCTTAAATACCCCTCAACTCAAAGTCCCTCATACTATTAAATCCCTGTCAGCTGGTTTCTTGCTCTGCCTCTTGACGTAGGGTTAACTTAGTTAGATCGTGTTTACACAGAGTTCTTTGATTATTTTGGGATTCAAAATAGATCAAATACCCTGCAACACTTTTTGTCTAACTAAAAAACTTTCCCTCTAACATCAATAAACTATATACTATCAGGTAAAACTTAACATTCACAATGTCTTGTCCATAAGTAATTATTAACCTTAAAGAAAGTATCCTATCCTATCTTGGTAAGTCTAAAGTTCTGTACCTAAATCACTTTGTGTAAAAACTTGAAATACCAATCAAAAACCATCTAAAAAGACCTAAACATCTTCTTAAATCCTAAGGAACTTAATCTTAATTGTAAGATTATAACTATTTAGTCTTCAATCTTCTAATATTATCTGAATAAACAGGAAGTACAGAGCAAGCAGCTCTGGCTGCCTGGAGAGTCACCCAAGATATCTCTATATCATCAGCTTCAGTCTACTGGCTCAGCATATCTGACAGACTTTTCTGTGAAGCTGGTATAATGAAGGACTTGCCTACCTTGTCCTTGCAAAGCTTGGCAGTCAACCATCCTGTATCCAGTTTGTCCAGCATTCTGCTTGCAATAAAAGCAAGGACATTCCTTGTCCAGGGGCTAGCTTGCCACATATGAAGCCATCTCCTAAAGGAGAATTTCTTTTTCATGTTCATCATATTCTTCGAAGTCAAAAAGGCGTGCTTCCAGGAGATGACGTCTCATCCAAAAATTTTCAAATTAATAAAACATCGTTAATGCCATATTCTACAGACAGATCTCTGAGGTTTTTGAAGATCATCTATCTCTAGTATATCTCAATTATTTGTTTCTATCTATATACTGACTGATTAACTTAGAAAAAAACCCTGTGTTTAACTAAGTTAGTACCTAACAAAACCACAAGTTTGACTGACTATTAGTTTGCATTTCTAAAATTATCTTAGACAGTTTATGATAGTAGCTTTCAAAAGAACTAAACTTCACATTGCATTTTTAATAATTACATATGTATAATACTTTAAATAAAAAGAGTTGATATATAGTGCCTGAGCCAGCCCGCAGAGTTGAACAGTTCCTGAGTGGAAAGTGAGGATTGAAGTAATTAAAGCAAGTCACAGTACACATGGGATCAGCTCCAGAGGGCTGTCAGTAAGACTGCAGTGTGAGTTTATTCCACAATTCCTTTTTTATTGGCAAAGCAAAAAACAAGTCACATCAATACAAAAAGAAATTTGTTTGTGGAACTGACAAACTTCTTTTTTAAAACTACTTCCCTATAGCACATACGGTCCAAGGTCACACAAACAAGGAACTTGGTGAAACTTCCTCTTTTCTCTGTCTCAAGGTGAAGGCCAGGGTGAAAACATGTTTTTCAATAAATAACAAAGTAGCTTCATAAACAAGCAGCTCTCCACAATATAGTATGCTGTAACCTTAATTTTTTATCAATATACAAATGATCTATAAGAGTAGATTCAATAATCTACCCTTTTATCCTATTGTTCCTATGTATTCCCATTTTTCTGTCTAAATAAAAAGGAAAGCTAATGTAATGCTATTCACACAAATTAAGCAATTTTCGCTAAGCTTCCCACAATGTCCAGCTTGGCTGTATTTGGCAGTTTTAGGATTAGATTAAGTATTTTTGAGTTCAAAGTTGTGTAAAATGTTCATGTTAATCTCATACAAATTCAGCATTTTGAATATCCTAAGCAATCTGTAATCTGAAGCTGATCTTTGGATGGTGTTTGTCAGGTTGGTAGCAATCCTGACTAGGCAGAACATAACAGTCAACTCAAAGGTGTCCACTGTTTGTGTTGAACTAAGCAGCAGAAGAAACATGGAGCAGTTTTTTTCCAGTGGTGGTTGTTACACAATCCAGGTGGTGGATTTGTCATTGGGGAGCTCGTCATCCTCTTGGAAACCGAAAAGGTTACTGTTAGGGGTGGTAGAAAATGTAAACATTTTAAATGCCATATTCAACAGATCTCAGAAAGGTTTGAGGATCATAATCTATTGAGTACATATGAGGTATACAAACTTTGCTTTTAGTTACTTGTTTCAGGCTCAAACCTGGAAACACATACAGGAAACTAGATGAAGTTTATTTCTAAAATTAGTTAATAACTACTAGTATCATGACAGAAAGCTTATATATACATAATAATCTTACAGATTTTGCAATAATATACTTTAAAAAATTAGAGAGTCAATGAAAACTAAAAGATTATATGATCAGTGTCAATATATCAATCCCTTATTTTTTGTTTTCCTCTTTCCCATACTAGGTGGCTCTTCTTATATGAGACAGAGATTTTGAATTTTTTTTTTAAACAAGCATGCATGAGTTTAAAGAAGGTGAGAGGCATGCTCCAACCCCCAAACCAACTTTAATTTTTAACTGAATTCTTTATCTTTAACCACATAAAGACTGTGTGCCACTTATGTCTATAGAGCACAGAAGAGACAAGATTGGCCAAATTACTCTTCTACTTGTTACATTTTCTCCTGATAATCTGTCCTTTTTTTTTTTTTTAGATGTTTCATTTGTCCAGTTGTCTCCAGATTCCTTAGTTAATTTTTAAGAACACAGGGTTTTTTTAATTAATTAATTTATTATGTATACAATGTTCTGTCTGTATGCATGCCTGCAAGCCAGAGAGGGCGCCAGATGTCATCATAGATAGTTGTGAGCCACAATGTGGTTGCTGGGAATTGAACTCAGGATCTCTGGAGGAGCAGCCAGTGCTCTGAACCGATGAGCCATCTCTCCAGCCCCCAGTTAGATGTTTTTATTCTCCTGAAAAAATTAAAAATAAAACCCTGCCCAACCATAACTCTGAGGGGTTTCTTTTTAGGTGTGTTATATCTTTCCTAGGACAAAATATTTTTTGGCAACAGAAAAAGTATTCTCTCTCAATTGAAATTTTTTAAATGGTTCTTTTGAAAAATTGAAATTAAATATACCTTTACACACACATATATATATTAGATTATAAAGATTATTATATTAGATTATTATTATTATATTAGATTATAAAGATTTATAAAGGATTGTAAATTTTAGTCTGCCTTTTGTAAATTACTTTTAAATTAAATCATTGTAATTCCTTTGTGTCTGCCTCTGTCTCCCAAGTGTAAGGATCAAAGGCATGTGCCTTCCAAGTGCTATGATTAAAAGTATGAACCACCATATCTGGATCTGGATCTAAGTTTTTCTCTACTTGGAACTTGGTCAGTATTAGGCTGTCCTTGAACTCAGAGATCTACATGTTTTCTGTTTCCTGAGTGTTGGGATTAAAGGTATGAACCACTATCACTGTCTGACGTAATCCTAGAAAGCTAACTTATAGGAATCTGCTTGTCTCTGCTAGTATTAAAGGCATGGGCTACCACTGCCCTGCTCAAAATTTTTTTTATCTTAGCTCCAATTTGTTACTCAAAACATTTTACATTTCCTGTGTTTATTTTAATACCAAACAACCAAAGTATTCTTTTTATTTAAGAAGAAAACTATAGTCTTCATACGTTAGTTTGAACTGAATTACCAGGCTATCTGATGAGTTATTGCCTCTCTTTACTTGGGAGATCTTTCTTGTTTGAATATAATCTTTATCAATTTAGATGGTATCCATAGCCTTTCTTCTCCTGTGGAAACAAAGGCAAAACTGCTTCCCCAACATAACACATATCCTGGTTTTCATTCTGAAGTCAACACATCTTAAAAATATACAGGTTGATTTAATTCAGCAGTTTTTTTTTTTTCTATGATCCAACTTCTCTTGGCAGCTGTTGTTCCTTTTCCATTAGCATTTAAACAATTTAAGGTTAAACTACTATGTAATCTATCTCTGAAGGTCTTTAATTACCCCTTTCTGTTTATTATGCATATCTTTTAAAGTGCTATTAGATCTTTCTATAACTGCTTGTCCTGTAGGATTGTGTGGTATGCCTGTAATACGCATGTTGTAATATGAAAAAGAAAAAAAAAACTGTTTCATTTTACTAGAAGCATATACTGGCATTGTCAGTCTTAGTCTATATGGGTATACCCATAAGAGCCATAACTTCTAATCAATGTAAACTTACAGAATCAGCCTTTTCAGAACTTAAAGCAGTTGCCTATTGAAATCCTGAATATGTATCTATGGTAGGATGTACATACCCTAGTTCTCCAAACTCTGAAAAATGAAACAGATCCATTTGCCAAATTTTATTTGAGTACCTTTTGGGTTACTTCCTGCAGGTAATGGAGTTTGGTTATACAAAGAACAAGCAGGACATTGCCTTACAATTTCCTTAGCTTGTTGCCAAGTGATAGAAAAATCTTTTTTCAGTTACTGTTAAGATGGTGTTTCTTATGAAAATCGGAGGCTTCTAGCACATTTTTTATTAAGCTGATAAATTTCATCATTACCTTTTCCTAGGGGACCTGTTAGACCAGTCTGAGATCTGATATGTGTTACATACAATGGATGATTTCTATTTCTAATTACTTGTTGTAACTGAATAATTAGATTAGTTAATTCTGAATCATCCACAATAAGCTCAGCAGTGTCAATATGTAAAACAACTCTTTCTGCATATTGTGAGTCGGTAACTACATTAAAAGAAATCACATAATATCATAAAAATGGCATACAACTGATTTTTTAACTAAATCATAAGGGCTCTGAGTCACTTTTACTTACTTTTCCTGACTTATAACTTGCCTTTCCTGATTTATTTGTATCAGTATAAAATGTACATGCTCCAGAACTGGTGTCCCTTTTATTATATGAGGGAGAATCTAATTAGTTCTTTTTATAAATTGAAGTCTCTTACTTTAGGGATATTTGTTGTTAATATCTTCCAAAAAATTACTGCATGCTCTTTGCCAATGTTCATTTTCTGCCCATAATGAGGCAAGTTCAGCAATTTCAATTAGTAAAAGGTACCACAATTTCTGCCGGGTTTATTCCTGCTAATTGGTGAAATCTCATTTTTTTTCCTTTCAGAATCAACTCACGAAATCTTTTCTACATAGGTCTCTAATTTTTTAACTCTATTTATGTGCTAAAACTACCCATTCTAAGATACTATCTTCTCTCTGCATAAGAATTCCCATGGGAGAATGAGTAGAAGGTAAAATAACCAAAATACAATCTAGCTTTGGATCCAAGCGATCCACATGTGCATCCTGTTGTTTCTTTTCTACTAGAGCCAATTCTCTCTCAGCCTGAGCTGATATATGTTTTTGGACTATTTAAGTCCTTATCATCTTGTAAGGTTTGAAATAAATTATTCAGCTCTTGAGTAGAGTTTGTAATTAATATTTTCTGATTTGTATTTGCTGTGGTTGAATTTTCTGTAAACCTATCTTATATCCTAGATAACTGATAGATCTCCTCTTGTTTTTTTCAGGAGCAATTTGTAATTCCCAGTAGGGCAAAATTCTCCTTACTACATCAAACAGTTTTTCTAAGGTGTCTGTACCTGAATCAGCTACTAGATATTATCCATATAATGTTAAATTTTATATTGAGTGAACTGTTTCAAATTATTTCTAATGGCTGATTCAAATATTGGCACCAAGTTAGGACTATTCAACATTCCTTGTGGTAAGGCCATCCAATGATATCTCTATATAGGACTACTATTATTATAAGTTGGCATTGAGGAACCAAAATTTTCTCTATCATTCTCACGCAAAGGGATTGTGAAAAAACAATATTTTAAATAAATTACCATCACAGGCCATTACTTCGGTAATAAAGAAGGCAATAAGATTCCAGTCTGTAAAGAGCCCATTGGCTGAATCATCTTATTTATGGCCCTTAAATATGTTAACATCTTCCATTTTTCTGACTTCCTTTTTATAACAAACACAGGGAAATTCCATGGACTGTTAGATTCCTCAATGTGTTGAGCATTTAGCTGCTCTTGTACCAACTGTTCTAGTACCTGTAATTTTTCTTATTTCATAGGCCACTGATCCACTTATAGGGGCTTGTCAGTTAGCCATTTTAAACTTAGGGAAGTTGATGCCTTAGAAAGACCAACACTTGTTTTTTTTTTTTTCTTTTTTAAAAAATTAATATTTTTTATCTTTAAATAATTTTATACATTCACTTGTATCCCAGCTGTAGCCCTCTCCCTCTTTCATCCCATTCCTCCCCTCCTTCCCTCATCTCCTTCTTGCTCCCTTCCGAGTCCACTGAGGGGGGGGGAGGGGGGTGACCTCCTCTCCTTCTGTCTGGCCCTAGCTTATCAGGTATCTTCAGGATGGTTGCAATGTCCTAATCTGTGGCCTAGCAAGGCTGCTCCTCCCTCAGAGCGAAGGAGTAGCTCATGAGTTCATGTCAGAGACAATTCCTGTCCCCCTTACTAGGGAACCCACTTGGATACTGAGTTACCATGGGCTATGTCTGAGCAGGGGTTATAGGTTATATCCATGCATGGTTCTTGGTTGGATAAACAGTCTCATAAAAGACCCCTGTGCTCAGATATATTTGGACCTTGTGGGGCTCCCTGTCCCCTCTAGGATATATTAATTCCTCCTTCCTTCATATGATTCCCTACCATATGATACCTGCCAAAGGCTTGATTATGGGTCTCAGCATCCACTTTGATACACTGCTAGGTAGAGTCAGGTGCCTTCTGTGGTTGGCTACTGTCTTGTTACTTGTTTTCTCCTATTTCAAATGTTCATCCCCTTTGTCTTTCTAGATGAGGATTGATCATCTTACCCCTGGACCTCTTTCTTGTTTATCTTCTTTAGGTGTACATATTTTAGTATGTTTATCCTATCTTATAGGTCTATATAAGTGAGTATATACCATGTGTGTCCTTCTGCTTTTGGGATACCTCACTCAGGATGATTTTTTCTAGATCCCACAATTTGCCTGAAAAATTCATGATTTCCTTGTTTTCAATTTCTGTATCCATTCCTCCGTTTGATGGACATCTGGGTTGTTTCCAGGTTCTGGCTATTAGGAATAAGGCTGCTACAAACATGGTTAAGCAAATGTCCTTGTGTGGTTGAACAACTGTCCTTGAACACATACTTGTGCATCTTTTGGATATATGCCTAGGAGTGGTATAGCTGGATCTTGAGGTAGCACTATTCTTAATTGTCTGAGAAAGTACCAGATTGATTTCCATAGTGGTTGTGCCAGTTGACATTCCCACCAGCAATGGAGGAGGGTTCCCCTTTCTCCACAGCCTCTCCAGCATGCGTTATCTCTTGAGTTTTTGATCTTAGCCATCTGATGGGTGTAAAGTGAAATCTCAGGGTCATTTTGATTTGCATCTCTCTGATGGCTAGGGATGTTGAACACCTCATTATGTGTTTCTCTGCCATTCTATATTCTTCTACAGAGAATTCTTTGTTTAGCTCCATACCCCATTTTTAAATTGGGTTACTTGAGTTATTATCTTTTAACTTCTTTAGTTCTTTATATATTCCAGATATCAGCCCTCTGTCAGATGTTGGGTTGGTGATGATCCTTTCCCAATCTGTAGGCTGTCGTTTTATTCTAATGACAGTGTCTTTTACTTTACAGAAGCTTTTCAGTTTCATGAGGTCCCATTTATTGATTGTTGCTCTTATGGCCTGTGCTGATGGTGTTCTGTTCAGGAAGTTGTCTCCTGTGCCAATGAGTTCTAGGGTCTTCCCCACTTTTTCTTCTAACCGATTTAGAGTATCTGGTTTTATATTGAGGTCTTCGATCCACTTGGACTTTAGTTTTGCGTAGGGTGATAAATACGGATCTATTTTCATTTTTCTGCATGTAGACATCCAGTTGGACCAGCACCATTTGTTGAAGAGACCAAGACTTGTTGTGTCCTACTTATGGACAACCTGGACAGTCTGTGACTGTTCTCAATAATACCTTTTAATATTTTTCTCAGAAAATATTTATTTTTTAGTTTGTTTCTGAGATTGGAAGAATGTTAACTGTGTTTTCCATTGCTGTAACAAATTACATCCCGCAAAATTCATGGCTATATTAGCCAAAAATGGCCTTAATTTTCTCATTTGTCCTTCTGGCCCTATACATTCGACCCATCTTACACTTAGTTTTATCTGCGATAAAGTTCCAATCCCTAAAGCTGAATATTATTACTTGTTGAAGAGGCCAATCTGGATGCCAAGATTTTGGTGAGATTATTGTTACATCTGCTCCTGTTCTACTAAACCTGTAATTCCAATGCCATTTATTTTTATTTTTAGCTTAGGTCTCTGATCATGAATATCAATTGGCCAATATATTTGCTTTGTGGTCTTTAATGAGGCTCTCTCTGATGCACCTGGGTGGCAATTGCTTTACTGGTTGCCACAGCAATGAAAGCCCTACAATTATCATCATGGTGAGAAGCATGACACCATGAGGTGGCCATGGTGCTGGAGAAGGAACTGAGATTAGAAGCATCGAGAAGACAGAAACACTTGGCTTGGTTTGAATATTTGAAACCTCAAAGCTCACCCCAATGACAAACTTCCTCAAACAAGGCCATGCCTACTCCCAAAAGATCACACCTCTTAATTGTGACACTCTCTGGTGACCAAACATTCAAACACGAGTCTATAGGAGTCATTTCGATTCAAACCACTACAGTCCCCTTAATAATCATTAATTGCCCACCTCTGGTAATTATCAGGCAAAACCTTTGGAATGTATAAATTTAGCGGATGACTAAGCTTCCACTAGCTAAACAAAGCAAGCCATTAGACAACCTCCAAAACCTACAACAGTAACCCCCACACACATTTTGCTACAACTGCCTACTTGATGTTTCCTTTAATATATTTGTTAAATGCATGGATTTATTACTTTCTTTAGTTTTGTATTGCTCAAAGTTCATCCATGTTGGAATCTGTCATTCAGAGCAACCCAAGTCAATGTTTCCACCAAGGCTCAAAATAACTCTCTCCTAGCCCCTTCTAGGTAAGAACTATGTTTCTCATCAACATGAATTGATAAACCAACCTGCCTCCATCTTAGGCTTGAAAGCCATCTTACAGTAAAGACAAAGTAGATTCATTCCTGTTTATGATTAATCTCTTTCTCAAAGATTGGACTATACCCCACCTGTAATCTTAACTACAAATGGTTCTGTTCTGCCTGTTTCAGGAAACCACAACCATGTGTTTGTTATTATGGTCAGCAGTAGTGGTGCACACCTTTAATCCCAGCATTCATGAGGCAGAGACAAGTGAATCTCTGTGAGTTCGAGGACAACCTGGTCTATGTTCAAGTTCCATAAAATCCTTGTCTTGAAAAACAAACAAACAAACAAACAAACAAAACCAAAAGGCTATTATGACTTGTTATTACCACCTTGTGACCACCATGTTATAACCACCTTAAAAGAATGTTTATACTGTTAACACAAACATGTATATCTACTGCCCTTTCTGCAATGTATATTTCACTGCAAATTACAATTGTGATGCTAAAGTGTCTAAAGTTTATCTCCTTTGTAAACTTAAAAAGAGATTCTTGTAAACTGCAGAAAATCCACCCAAATCCACCTCTCAGGTCAGTTTGGCTTCAGATAAGTTTCTCACCTACTGCCTATCTCAGAGGGTGGGATTCCTCCCTGCTCCCTGGTTTTGGGACTCCCCTTTCGTGGCTACTAGATTGCTTCATTCCAACTTCCAACACTAGGTGACTGGTGAGTCTTCCATTCTGGTTGGCATCAATTCCAGATCACTACATTCTTACACCCAACACCAGCAGATTGGTGACTCTTCACTTCTGGTTGGTGCAAATGCTTCCTACCACTCTTGCCATCCTACATCCAAACCCTTCATCTAGGATCTTCTCCCTTGGGTGAGATTTTTCTCTCTCCCACCACAGTTTTGCTCCCTCCCCTTCTCGCAGTCTACAAAATACTAACTAGGTAAACTGCTATGGGCAACTATGCCCTTGGTCTCTGGCCAATGCTAACAAGATGTTAGAACAGATTGTACATACTAATCTACTGCGTCAAACCTTGTACTTGGGGTGCCTTGACAGGTGACTGACTCCTACCTGCCCAATGGGAATAGTCCATTTGTCTGTTCCTCCAGATTCTCCTTTGGGATGTCTTCTGGAGAATTTCAGATTTCTACACCTAGCACCCACTTTAAGGGCCTCTAAGTTTACATACCTCTGCAACCACACTTAGCCTCAATTTCCTTAGATAACAGATCCAAAGCAAGACCGTTTAATTATTGTCAGCATTTGGGTAAATGGAGGTTCCCTCAGGTAGATGGAGGTTCCCCTGTTTAAGTCTCTCTTTGATCCAAACCTTTCACCTCTGTTTGCTCTCCCAAAAGTTTTAAATGTACAATTAAAGGAATTTTCTCTGTAACCTACTTAACTTTGTCTTCTGTCTATATATATGTTCCAGTATCCTGCCAGAAACCCAGGTGTTTCTTACACCCATGACAGCACCAAAGCTGTTGCAGTCTGCTCTTGCAGACTTCACTAAGCTGGACCTGCACTTTTTCCTCCCAGCCACCAGTGTTCTCACAGACCCTGTACAGCATCAAAACAGCCAGCTCTTTCCGGACTTGGCCAACATTTCAGCCTTTTGACCTCCCTACAAGACACCAGTGTCAGCAGGAAGTAGCCAGAAGGAAAACTTCACCCGTTATTACTAACAAAAGGCTGGAATGGTGTGCTTCAGGCCCAGGACCAACAGCTCCAGTTTCTCCCAGCATTCCTCAGTCCCTATCTACTGCTGGGCATGGCTGTTAAGTCCACCCCCTACCCTCCACTTTTCATGGCAGGGGCTTCCTCTCCTGCCTACCTTGTAATCTGGGCATTTTGGTGCTCTTACTTTTTTTCCTCTCTCTTACTCCCTGGCATGGTGACCAAGAGCTGCTTCCAGTGAACCTACATTTTTATACTTTAACTTGCCTTCCATGAGAAGCAGTCTGAGCTCCTCATTTTTTTTAATTATAGAAAAAGGGAGTAATATCAGCAATTAGGCAGCCTGATTCTCAGTTGCCTAGTAACCTATGGCATCATCATGTGCCACCTGCCAGGTAGATGGACCCGGCAGGTGCGGTTTAGTTGCACAGGAGCTATAAACGGACCCCTGCCTCTTACCTCTCTGTCTTGTTCTTCCTCTCTCCTACTCTACCCTTTCTCAGCCAGGGCGCCCCCTTCCTTCCTTATCATGCCTCTCTCTCTCCATCTCTATCCAATAAACCTCTTTTATATAATATCTGTTGTGCGCATCATCATTTTCAATTTAAGCTTCTGAATGTTTACGATTCCATCACCATCACTCATACACACAGTGCTTTTTGATTCCCATCTTGACTATTCATTCTATAAGTTTTATGATGTTTCCAAGGTTTTGTTTACACCATTCTATTTCTCACTCTACATACTCTTATTTGGGAGAATCCAGCCACTTTCGGGTACTGTATAATTCTAGAATCTAATTTCCGCTTTCTACTTCCTAAGAATTTATGTCCACATTTCCAAAATGTAAAACTCCCTGTGGACAAACGGCAAAGACCTTCAACTCAATGCGGTAAGCTTGAATTCATAGTCTTAAACCTTTTCCGGACACACGGCATCCGATTCATACTTTCATCATCTTTCACCTAGCTTACTGCCCACTTATTTAAAACATTTATTCCACTTTCGCAAGTAAGTATCCTTCACGCACTTACTTTGACGTTTGTCCCAAATACACTCAGCTAACAAGTGTATGAAAAATCCTCCTGTCCTGGTGTAATGAACAGCCCTTAAATTCCAAAGTCAGCCCTTACATTTCTCTAAGATCACCTTTCAGATCTTCCAATACTAAATTTACCTCTTATTTCCTGTGTGACCACCTTTCCTTCCCTACAGCCTGGCCAGTCAGGGGAAGTACTAACACAAGTTAGAGAACTGAGCCGATTCTTAGCAAATGTTTACTGAGTGATTATCCAGCGCAGCACAGTGAGGTCACATCCGGCATCCGGTGTCGTCTTCCCAACGTCGCTCTGAGAGAGGTTCACAAGCCAGGGTATAAGCTGTAAAGCGGAGTTTGTGACAGTCGTTGACCTCCTTCGCAGGCCCAAGCTCCAGAGCACCAGGTCAGAACTCCGAGTCTGGGTCTGCAGCCGCAGGGCCCGGCCCACGGTGGAACCCTAAGCGAGGGGAGTACGGGTGTTGCCCGGACTGAGACGCGGTTGCAGTGCGGCCAACGAACACCGCGGCGTTTCTTCCGGAGCTCTCGCGAGAGGAACCAGGGCAAGATGGCTGCGCCGGGTCTTTCCGTTTGAGGAGGCGGCGGCGGCAGCCGGCGTCGTGTAGTCGTGGGCTCCTGAGCCGCGGCTCTCCTCGTCCCAGACGAGGCCCGCCGCCTGCGGGAGATGCGCGCGTCGCGGAGCCGCGGCCGTCCCAGGAGTTCATGCTGCGTGCGAGGCTCGCGGCCGCCGCTCTAATCTCCCGGCGCCGCCGCCGCGCCGGCTCGGCCCGCGGTGAGCCTCCCGGAGCCCGCCTTGCGCGCCGCGGCGGCGATGACCGGGGAGAAGATCCGCTCCCTGAGGAGGGATCACAAGCCCAGCAAAGAGGACGGGGACGTGCTGGAGCCGTGCGAAGAGGAGGCGACGGCCGCGCTCGGCGGCGCCTTCACGGGGGGCAGAAGCGGAGCGGGCGGCAGCGGCAAGGGCGGCAAGGCCTGCCATAAGATCTTCAGCCACCACCACCGGCTGCAGCTGAAGGCACCCGCCGCGCTCAGTCCCGGCGCCCCGGCCCCGCCGCAGCACAACGCGGTGACCGCCACCTGTCCGGCCCCGGCCTGCCTGGGCAGCAACCCCGCGGCCGTGGTCGCAGACGGAGGCAGCTGCCCCTCGCTCTACCCGGTGCACGAGAGCGTTTTCAAGGGGGACGTGAGGAGGCTTTCCTCGCTCATCCGCACGCACAATATCGGGCAGAAGGATAATCACGGTGAGCTCTGCTGGCTTTGCCGATTTTCTGTCCCCTCGGGAGGTGACCGACGGCCTCGGGGTTCTGGGCTTCAGCCGCGCACTGTACTTTCCTCCGCAGGATCACCCCCCCCCACCACCACCACCCACATACACACACTGCCTTTAACTGGGGTCAGGAGTTTGGGTCTTGTGGATGCAGAAGAGATGTTTTCTTCTTGTCCACCTGAGCATCTCGGGACAGGTTTCCCGTCTTGCGGCTGACCTTCCGTGTGTCAAATGTCAGGCTATCTCACATTCAGGCAGGTCTTGGTTTTAGGGAGCTGTCTTTCCTTCATTCCTTCCTGGAGTTTGAACTTTGAACCTGTATGTTGCAGGTCTTCATCCAGGATAGAACCCAGGTTCACTGCAGCTAAGTGTGTTATCTGTCATCGTGCTGTATTATTAATTGATCTGCTGCTTTTGTCTGCTTTCAGGAAACTTAAAACGCTGGTTTTTGAAAGTAACACAGAAATGTGTCGGCATTTGATTTCCCAAAGCAACTGAAGAGACTTACCAGCTGATTCTTTTTGTTGCCTTTCTCACTTTAGCAACAGTGTCTCTTGACAGCGACTAAAGTCAGTACTACAATTTTCATAGTAAACTTTTTTTTAAAGATTTATTTATATAGCATTCTGCCTGCATGTGTGCCTGCAGGCCAGGAGAGGGCACTAGATCTCATTATAGATGGTTGTGAGCCACCATGTGGTTGCTGGAAATTGAACTCAGCACCTCTGGAAGAGCAGCCAGTGCTCTTAACCTCTGAGCCATCTCCAGCCCTCATAGTAAAGTTTTAGCAGTATGTTTGAGAGAGCGTATTTGATTGTGAACGCTATTTACTTTTGGCTGCATTCTGTCAGCTGAATTTTTTTTTCTTTTAAACAACAAGCGATTTTTTTTTTTTTTTTTTTTTTTTTTTTTTGGTTTGGTCTGGTGGTTTTTTGTTTTGTTTTGTTTTTGAGACGGGTTCTCGGTTTCTCTGAGTAGCCTTGGCTGTTGTGGACTCGCTTTGTGGATCAGGAGGCCTGTTTCTGTCTCCCTGAGTGCTGAAATCACGGGCGTGCACCATTTCTCCCAGCTAATAAGGAGTTTGAGATTTATTTGCCTTTTTTTTTTTTTTTTTTTTTTTTTTTTTTGGTGGTGCTGGGGATTGTGCCTAACTAAGGCTTTGTATAATTGTTAATTGTTGAAACTAATGTGAATAGTGATAATATTTTCCAACATTTTATTAACAGGCCATTTCAAACTTAAAATAGAAGCAAAATTGTTGGCAGCTGTTTTTAACCGGACAGTAATACATTAGGGAAACTGTCCAAAATGATATTGCACATTGCTGCAATACCACCTGTGAAATAAGCTCTCTGAATTTCATTGTTTTGTAGGCTTATTTAAAATGACAACAAAAGTAGAAGACAAAAAAGTGAATAATTTTTTGGTACAGTTTTCTAACTGCACTTGTTTTCTGAATTTATAATACTATACTTGTAATGCTACCATCTTCCATTTATCATAAATCAAATACCAAAAATGTACTGGGCGGCTCTTTCCAAGTTTTAATTTCTACTTTTAATTTATTCAATGATGCTGTTGTAACAAGCGCAGTGACCTCTGCTGAGAATTCTGTCCTGACTTAAGTAGTTGAGTTGTAGCCATAATGGATTGGTTATTAGGATGTTATTTAGACAAGGTCATGTAGTAGCTGTGTTTTGTCTTTGCCTTTAAAACTTAGTTATGTGCCTTAAAGTCGCTTTGAAAATAGCCAAAACTTTCCCTTTTCGAGTTAATGCTCCTTAAGGGTTGAGTGGATGACGCAGGAAATACTGAAGTTTTGGAATTGCTGATTGTTGGGCATCCAGTTCTGTTGCTAGCATTTTAAAAAACTGAATTCTTTTCAGAATTCTGTATACCCTTAGACATCTGACCTTTACCCACCAAAGTTCACTTTTTAAGTGAAATACTTATATTTTGTTTAGCTGCCTTTATATCACTCTTGATGAATGCAGCTATCCACTCCTGCCAGTGAGAAGTGTGCCTATGTCTTCTTCTGGCACATTCTTGACAAGGAACCTGCGGTGCTGCTGCTGTGTTCTCATGTAGTTTCATAATGTCCCCATTAAAGTTTTCTTAAAAAAGTATTTTTTTAAGCTGCATTTATTTTTGTGTGCCTGTCTGTGAAGATCCATGGACAACTTGTTAGAATTGTGTCTCTTCTTCATTGTGTAGGTCCCCAGGATTGAACTCAGGTTATCAGGCTTGGGAGTGATTGTCTGTACCTACAGAGCCATCTTGCCTGTTCTCTGTCCCATTCCTGTAGTGTTAGTTTTACTCTGGGTGCTTTTTCTCCATAGCCTAGCTATTAAAAAACAAAACCAACCAACCAAACAAACAAACAAAAACCCTTTTTTAGATTTATTTTTGTTTTATGTACCTGTCTTTGTTTCCAGAAGTCTGGGATTTCAGGCGTGTGCCACCACACCCAACTTTTCCAAGGACTCAAATTCAGGTCCTCATGCTTGTTCGGCTGGCATTGTACCAACTGAATCCAGCCCTGCATTTTTACTTTTTTAGTGGACATTGTCAAATGATTTTCTTAAAAGGGTCCTACTGAATTTCTTTCAAAAAAGAATCCAGAGAGACATGGCACTTTGGAAACATTGCCTATGCAATAGAAACTATGAAGATAGAGCTAGAACTAATTTCTGGGCAGTGGTGGCCCTCACCTTTAATTCTAGCACTCTGGGAGGCAGAGGAAGGAGGATCTCTGAGGCCAGCCTGGTTAAATGATTGAGTTCCAGGGCGGGCAGGGCTACACACAGAAATCCTGTCTCAAAAAACCAAACCAAATAAACAAACAAAAAAAGCCAACAAAACAACAACAAAACCTCTTCATGAATTTATGTTGGCGGAGACACACTATGTTACAGGAAAGTCAGTTCTAATGTTTGTTTTGTTTTTGCAGTAGAGTTCTTTAATACATATTTCTCACTTAGTGTTTACAATAGAAGTTTGTGGCCCCAATTTCAGTTATTAGGGGCCTTGTGTTCTTTTCGTGGGAGCCTTGTCGAAAGATTCTGTCACTAGATAGTTTTCAGTTTCTGTAGAACTTTTGCATGTTTTTAAATTTGGAATGGCACAAATAAATGCATTGGGTCATTCACCTATATGATAGCTTTTAAAAATCTTTGCAAGAGCTGTGATATGCCCATTGTTTTCTAGGCTACAGAAATGCTGTCTTCTGTAGCCACTGGTCATGTGTTCTGTGAAATATTTCAGATGGTTTCGAAAACATAATACTCAGTTTTAAGTAAGTACATAAGAAATGTAGTGACTCCTCTCCATGGAATCCTAGTCTGTTCATGTTCCCTGAACATGAGGAAGGCACCCTGACCGGATATTTGCTGGAACGGAAGTGGCTGCCCAGGCAGGAATGACCTTGCACAGAACCTGTTCACAACCTCGTAGTCCCAGATCGAAACAAGGCTGGAAAAGTAGTACCAGTGTTCAGAGCACTTGCTCCTCTTCCCAAGGACCCACTCCAGTTCCCAGCACCTATGCCTGTCCACTCAAAGCCACCTGCAACTTCTGTTTCCAGAGGATCCATGTAGCCCCCAGACATTTGACACATACGGTAAACATACCACACACTCATTCACTCACTCACTCACTCATAAATAAAAATTAAAAATCAAATGTATTTTCAAAAGGACCTAAAGGTTAAAAAAAAAAAAGATTTTATTTGTTTGTTTGCTTGCTTGTTTGTTTATTTATTGGGGGATAGCGTTCTTGGCTCTCCTGGAACTGAGTACGTTGATCAGCTCATAGAGACCCATCTGCCTCTGCCTCCCAAGTGCTGGGATTAAAGGCACATGTCATTATACCTGGCCTATTTTTATTCCTTTTAATTATGTGTAGGTGTGTGTGTGTGTTAAACATCCTTAAGTTAATCAGATCTTTCTGAC